CCCCAAAACCCCAAAACCCCAAAACCCCAAAACCCCGCCTTCTAAAGCATAAGCAAATATCATAGAATAATCATAAGCATTTTAAATTATTAAAATAGATGAGATGTAATAACTGGCTACTTTTTAAAATTCTAGTAATTCACAAAGTTTGATGATTTTAGTTATCAGTATTATAATTTGACGGGATATCGAATGTATTTCCAGTGTATTCGTTTTTAACTGCATTATTTTAATCAATATTCAATGCTCTTTGCAGTTCTTTATCATCAAAATCGTACTCGTGATCATTTTTATTAGGCCTTCCTTAGTTGTTATGATTGCTTTATCTTGGTTGATACAATGAATCTCTATTATCAGAGTTTTCATAGTCAGAATTGTTTAGTGCATTATCGTTGTCATTGCTCAAATGATCATTATCCTCACTACTGCTGTAGTTAATATTTGGAATAGTTTGTCTATCCTTTGGAACTAATAGTTCAAATTTAAAGTCAACTTTAAGCAAGTTCTTTTATTGAATTTTAGTCTTATTTTGAATAGCTGGATAGAATAGTCCATCTTTTGGCAAATCAGTAAATATCTCTCCTTAAGGATTGTTAGGAGTGAAAATAATAAGCTTCTTCTTGTTCGCATCTAAAAGTATTCTAACTTTCATGCTTCCTTTCATTATACTGTAATTTATGACTGAACCAATCATCTTAGAATTACTAAATCGTTTGTTTATTATCCCAACAATCATAATGCCTCCTTAGTCAGAGGGAGTGCCTGATGTGTTAGAAATTGATTGAAGGGGATTATTGTTTATAGATTGAGTATTCTGGAGATATGAGATTTTAAGTTACCATAAATGCTCTCCAAAGGAATACCCATAACTAGAAAGAATAGTGCCTGCCTTATCAAAATTTAGGCATTTGGTCTTTCCCTTAGTAACAATAGTAGCACAAGGATTAATGCTTACTGGAGATTAATCAGTGAATATCTGATTATCCTTTGTAGCGATATTTGAGATTTCAGACCACTCGCCTTGCTCTATAGCAGGTTGAGAGTTGACTTCATCTTCAGATTGTTCAATAATCATGATAGGGGCAACTCTAAATCTATATGTAGTCCTAGGCATTAGATCCGTGATTATGCATTTATGAGCTTTTCCCTTATAGATCTATCTAAATTGCTCAGTGTTATTTACTTTAACTCCAATACCATATTGTAGCACATATTATAGTTATTTTTTCTGAGGCTAGATTTGCTTAGAAAAATTAGTTGGATGACTCCATGCTACTTATATTGCTGTTGAGGTTTAAGCAATATGAGTAAACTATCTTTTCGATAATGGATTTTAATCCAGTAATTACTAATACTCATCAAGCTATTAAGTTGTGTAAATATCATTAATATCAAATTTTTCCTGGTAATTATTGCTATTTTAACCCCCAGCGCCGTCTGTATTCATTTTATAGCTGCTTATTGAATTGTAGTTATTATTTCCAGAGTTAAATGCATTAGTATTTGATGATTAACTCTAAATGTTGGTTTGTGCTTACCTCCTATTATTTGATAGTTCTCTTGTTAGATTACTTGAATTTTGTAACGTATTATTGACAAAAGCTGCTTAGCTCTTGAGTAAAGGTGAGTTTTATTCCATCGAGAGCTTTCTTTATTTTTAATTTGAGTTCTATAGAGATTACTTTTAATTTTTTCTTGTTTGACTTGTAGTGGTCTAAATTGGTTTGTATTGCTGTTTCATTAAAGGCTTTTACTTATAAACTTAGCTCATTGTACCATTTATAGAGTGGCCTAGATTCGATTTTTCATTTGGAAGAGTTTTACTTTCATCTGATGTTAACGCTCTTTAAGAATATAGTGTTGGCACTGCATTTGAGCTGTTAGCATTTTTTAAAATTTATGGCTAACTTAGATCCAGTGATCCAATTGTTTCTCGTTTCTCATGGCCTCTACTACTATCAGGATTAAGATTCAGATTTATTTAAGTAGGATTTGTGGTTTAGTTCTTTAAGATTTAAGGAGTGGCTTGATTTTGAGATGAATTCAAGGATTTATCTCTAACTTTCTGTGATGAATTTTTCTAAAATTACTATAGAGCAGAGGATTTCTTTAAATTTCCTCCAGAAGCATACATTTTTTGCTGCCCGAGCTAGTTTTAAAGCAAAGAACCCCCATTCGACTTAGTTGGCAGATTAAAGAACCTTTCATCATCTCTCCCAGGAGATCTATAACTTTTACTTCCGTTTTCTCTATCAGGATTAGTTTCAACATAATTTATTATTGGTGGATTTACTTATAACTCAACACTTAATTCCCTAATCGCATCATCTAATTTTTAAATTTGATTTTCACTAAGAAAACCAATTTGAGACTGCTATTGTGATTTCCTACCAACACCATGAGACTTTTAGATTTCCTCCAATATGCTTATATTGGTCTAAGATAATCTCTTTATCAGTTATTCTTCTACTGTTAGCATAATTTCTGGCATCATATGTATCAAATTTCTAAGCAAACAATAATTCCTCTCAATAATATTCTTCTTATTTTTTACGTCTAGGTTAATTTCATTCAGTTTTTATAGTTTCTAATTATATTGATTATTGATAGAGACGACTAATTCTTAATTCTTTAGTTTCAAGCAAGAAATCATTCTTTCAATAGTTTCATTTACATGCTAAATTTACTACCTCTTTTTATTAACAAGTTCATTCTAAGCAATCTGATTATTTCTTTCAATTATGGTTTAAAGATACGATGATGAAGTCTAAAGCTCTTTTGACAATTCAATTTTTCTCGAATAGAATTACTAAGAGTTGCATACTATTTTAACATAAGTTTTTGAGGGGTTAGTAGTTGTATTGAAGCACTGTTAGCATCCATATTTATTTAAATTGGTTGAGAAGTATATAATCTGATACTCAGGATGTTGATCGCATCTTTCCAGCATTTACTGATAATTTTACCAAGCCTATAATTATTACTAATCATGAGTATTTCCATCTTAGCTAATCAACTATTTATTTATTTCTTTTAACTCGTGTTTAGAGAAGACTCCTAAGCTATGAATGTGAGTATTACAGCCTTCACAGAGATTTACTTAGCAGTTTGAACAATGATAGACTGACTCGTTCAAATTACATCTATTGCATGTTTCAGTTTTGCTATCATTCGGCCCTCTAAGATTAAACCAGCTCTTATCTTTTCCTGCAGAGGCTAATAGCTAATCTACTTTGAGGCAGTTGAATAGAGATTGAATCATGTGATTTTCTTGGCAATTTATAAAGTGAATGTTTTAAAATTCTTAAGAACATGCCACACAGTTTTTTGATTTTTTGAAACATTCTGCACACATAAATGAAAAGCAGCAGTCTAGAATTAAAAAGTTGATAGGCTACTGATCTTATTAGTTTCTTTGGCTTTGATTTAAGATTTACTAGAATTAATCTTTGGCAGATGAATTCTAATTAGCATTAAGATTTTGGATAGGCTCATTGCTTTATTAAGTTGAGGCAAACTAGGATGCTGGACTGATCTAACAGACTGAACAGGCAATGTTAAACATTTATAAATTAACAATTAGAAATAGTTCTAAAACTTTATCATTCAAACTAATGGGGTTTTGGGGTTTTGGGGTTTTGGGGTTTTGGGG